GGGAATGGGCACTGTTTACAAAGGAATGCCCCAAAGGTGTTACCACGTGAAACTGAAGAGTCTACAGTGTCACCAGCATGCTGCTGGCGTGGTTGTAAACAAGTTAAGGGTAAGATTCTTGTCAATGGGTATATGGAGCATACTAAGTGAAGAGCTGAGATAGCTTCCTGAAACACATGAAGGAAAATGATCAGAAAAACAAGGAGGCCAAAGCTTCCAGTTCTAGGTGCCTCGGGAGCTGCAGCTTAAGGTGCAAACATGGCCAAGTCCAAGAACCACACCATACACAACCAGTCTTGAAAATGGCACAGAAATTGTATCAGGAAACCCTGATCACAAAGATATAAATATCTTAAGCAGGTGGACGTCAAGTTCCTGAGGAACATGCGCTTTGCCAAGAAGCACAGCAAGAAGGGCCAAAAGAAGATGCGGCTCAACAACGCCAAGGCCATGAGTGCAGGTGCCGAGGCCATCAAGGCCCTCATAAAGCTCAAGGACGTTAAGCCCAAGACTCCAAAAGGTGTCAGCCGCAAGCTCAGTCGACTTGCCTACAGTGCCCACCCCAAGCTTGGGAAGCGTGCTTGTACCTGCATTGCCACGGGGCTCAGGCTGTGCCAGCCAAAGGCCAAGGCCAAGGCACCAACCCACGGTCCAGGCTGCAGCTCCAGCTTCAGTTCCAGTTCAGGCTTCCAAAAGTGCCCAGGCCCCTACAAAGGCTTCAGAGTAGCTATCTCTGCCTGCCAATGTGAGGACAGAAGGATTGGTACAACCCCCCCAGGCTGCCATCTGCATGGGGCCGGAGTCCTCCTGTGATATTTGTACAAATAAACCTGAGGCAGGATTTGTAAAAAAAAAAAAAAAAAAGAAGAAGAAGAAGGAGGAGGAGGAAGCCAAAGAGAAAGGTACCTGGATTAGACTTGAAGCACCAGTCTGCTCCACCCAGGGAAGCACACTTTGTGGGAACCAATGGGAAGGAGCCTGAGCTGTTGGGACTTATTCCCTATTAATTCATGCATAATAGGTGTAAAAAATAGGCCAGGTGTGGTGGCTCACGCACGTAACCCTAGCACTTTGGGAAGCCAAGGCAGGTGGATCACTTGAAGCCAGGAGTTTGAGACCAGCCTGGCCAACATGGTGAAACCCCGTCTCTACCAAAAATACAAAAATCAACTGAGTGTGGTGGTATACAGTTGTCAGCTACTTGGGAGGCTGAGGCATGAGAATTCCTTGAACCCGGGAGGCAGAGATTGCAGCAAGTTGAGATCACACCACTGCAGTCTAGCCTGGGAGAGACTGTCTCAAAAAAAAAAAAAAAGTGGTTAAAAAAAAAAAAGACCGCTGGACTATTTAAAAACACACAGAGCAACAACATAAATCAGGCACTGTGGTGTGTACCTATAATCCCAGCTACTAGCGAGGCTAAGGCAGGAGAACAGCTTGCGCCCAGAACACAAGACCCCTCTCAGAGAGGGGAAAAAAAGATAACATAAATTAAACTATATACTTATGATTTTTGTACTTTTCTGTATGAAACACCTCTTAAAATTTACATTAAAGCAAACAAAAATATACCTCTGATCAAAGAAGCTAGACACAAAATAGTACATACTGTACAATTCCGCTTATAACAATCCTACAAAATGCAAATGATAGCATCTAAAAGCAGATCAGTGGCTGTCCGACTGGAGGCTGGGGTGATGAGGATCTCAAAGGGACATGCGGAGTTGTCTGGGGATAGTGGAAACGTTGTGTACTGTGGAAGTGGTTTTCACGAGTGCACGCACACAACTCTCAAAACCTACGGTATCACATACTTTAAATAGCTGCAGTTCGATTACATGAATTACGCTTTTTGATTTTTTTTTTTTAATCGGAGACAGAGTCTCACTCTGTCACCCAGGCTGGAGTGCAGTGGTGCGATCTTGGCTCACTGCAGCCACTGCCTCCCAGGTTCAAGCGATTCTCCCGCCTCAGCCTCCTGAGTAGCTGGGATTACAGGCATGCACCACCACACCTGGCTAATTTTTATATTTTTTAGTGGAGAGGGGGTTTCGCCCTGTTGGCTAGGCTGGTCTAAAACTCCTGGCCTCAAGTGACCCACCCACCTCAGCCTCCCAAAGTGCTGGGATTACAGGTGTGAGCCACCGTGCCCAGCCTAGTTACATGAATTACACTTAAAGTTGATTTTTAAAAAAGAAGATATCCTTACTAAGAGATTAATACAGCTAAGAGGTCATGAAAGACATTCTGAAGGTAGTAAGAGGCACTGATACAAATGACCATGCATAAATCCTTTGAATTTTCTATTTTATCCTTGTAGAGAGATGTTTTCCTAGTAAGCCAAACGCTCTACATTTTTGAGTACAGAAAGATAATGTACATTTTGTAATTTGGCTAGTATGGAGAATATTACTAAAGATTGTTAATGTAAAAAAGGTGAAACACATCAATGGCTGGACGTGGTGGGTCATGCCTGTATCTCAGCACCTTGGGAGGCCGAGGTGGGAAGACCGCTTGAGCCCCCTAGTTCAAGACCATCCTGGACAACACAGTGAGATCCCAGCTCTACAAAAAACAAACAAAATTAGTCGGGCATGGTGGCATGTGCCTGTAGTCCCAGCTACTCAGGAGGCAGAGGTGGAAGGATAGCTTGAGCTTGGGAGGTTGAGGCCGAAATGAGCCATGATTGTGCCACTGCACTTAGTCTGGGCAACAGAGCGAGACCTTGTCTCAAAAACAAACAAAACACACACACACTCACACACTCACTCACACACTCACACACACTCACACACTCACACACACACTCACACACTCACACACACACTCACGCAAAATCAAACTGCTCAAACAGTAAGATCTAGTTTTTGTTTTCAAAAGGAGCCAAACACATATGTACACACTAAAAACACTGGAAGGGTTTACAACAAACATGAATTGAGGTTATTTCAGGGTATAGGATGGTTAGGGATTTGATTTTTACTTCCTTCTTTAAACCTTTCTGTTGTGTAAAAACGAGGAATATGACTGTTACAGTCGGGGGGAAAACCCATCACTGTTATTTCTGTAATGAAAGCAACATATGGCCATGTGTCCTTGCTCTGGCAGGCTCTGATGAGAGAGAGCTTCCTTTTATTTACGCTGCCTGGTTACTAACCAGAAAAGTCAAGTTGTACATAGTAACCAAAGAAACCGGGCTAAGAGTCTTAAAATTCGAGTTTGCGCTCCGACTGTGCCCGTATTTGCTGCCCTAAAGTCACTTGCTTTTTTGGATCTCAGTTTCCTTATCTGTACAGGACAATGGTTGGATTTAATAACTGCTAAAAGTGCCTGTTTCTCCATTTTCAAAAATCTCAGCTCTGATGCAAGCCGACAGAAATGACGGTAACTGATCTCGTTTTAAAAGATTGGGTGGGAAGTTGAAGGGAGGATGCCCCACCTCCCTGCATCCCCTATGAATCACTTTCCATCAAGGTAGGAAGCACATCCACTTACCGTCTTCCTGCCTGCAAAAATGAAAGCCATTCTAAGTTCAGACACAAGACCAGCATGGGCTCCTATTAGCAGAAGCTTTTCCAAAGCCCTCACCTCAATCTAGACTCCTTCTTCTCACCCAACACTCTTTGTTCTGGGCAGGGTTTCACAGCTTCTCCAAGAACACCAAAAACATCCAGTCACTTAAAAATAGCTTTGGAGCAGCTCAGACCGGCCCTGAGCAATAAGGCATTCATGATGCCCCTGCTGTTGAGTGGTAATTAGTTTAATGAAGGACTATTAAAAACACATAAAAATCTCAACCAACAAAAATAAACAAAGCAACCAAAGCCAGCGTCTTACATGGATAAGTGGACCTGCAGGTAATGCAATGCTAATGCAAAGAATGCCCCACAAAACATGCATGTGTGCTTCCCAGGAGCCCAAGCCTTTTATTGGCTTTAATTTTTTAAAATGCTCACTGTATATCGTGGCCATACATATATACACAATGTTAATTCTAGAAAGTGGATTTAACTTCTAACTAGAAAAAAAGGTAGACAATGAAGGAGAAAGCACAGACAGGCATTCTTTCTACCTTTGCAACTCCCACCCAGTAAAGACATGACTGGTGGATTGCCTAACCCCCTCCCTAGGTGCTCAGATTTCTGAAGAGTGGCTTTTTGCTGCAAAAGAGATGACTCAGAAGTGGCTCAAAAGGAGCATTCACATTGAGAACTTTTTCTTTCCCCTATTCCCCCCACTCTTTTTTGTAGATGGTAGTGACTTGAAGGCAACTTGGATTGTGAGGGGGAAGGAGCAGGTAACTGCTGCAGCACGACTCCCTGCTGGCTGTTCCCCAGGTCCTGGCAGAGAGAGGGACAGTGCCTAAGGCTTCAAAAGCCAGAAGCCAACAAGTCAGGGGCCCAGGTGTGGGGAGCTCCCCGCGCTTTGGGAGGCTGAGGCAGGTGAATCACTTCGCAGGCCACTAGCCAATGAAGGGCGCTTCTTTAATCAGATCTTCTCCCTCTAGAGGGCAGAGACAAAACTATTCTTAGAAAAACCTCTACCAGCAGCAGATTATCTTTTTTCCTTAGAAAAAAGCCAACCAGCCAAACTAGTAGAGTAGCATAATTCAGAGGGAACAGGGTCCTCTTCCTGCTCAGAATGCAGTGTAGGAGAAAAACATGAATGAATAGAATCATTTGCTCCTGGGTGAAACCTACCATCAAGGAAATCCCATGCTTTCCAAATACCAATGCCGCCAACTTCCCAAAGACCAAAACATCACAATTCTCCCATATTTACAAGTAGAAGCAAGCCACGAGTAAGAGAGGAACTGAACTACCCAGGAAAGGCTGCAGCAAAACAGGAAGTTATAAACAAGGCTCTCGATTCACTATTCTTCGCTGATGGGGGTGCACAGAACACAGGGCCCATTCTTGAGCATTAGACTCAACGATGCTAACATTGGCCTTGCTTGATGAACTCCTCCCCTGCAGTAGCCATCACCAGGCTGATTTTACCTTAAGAGCACCACAGAGTTCAACAGTGTCTGCATCATCAACCACAGTAATTCGAAAATTTGGCGTCTGCAGAAGTTCTTTGAAGAGGAGACCATTCTCCATGACTTTGCTGCCTGTCAAAAGGTTAAACAAAACAATATATAAATAGCAGTCTCTAATCTTAATTTTCACACCTAATACACTTTAAAATAACTTTCTGCTTACTATAAAAGTAACATATGTTCACGATGGGATGTTTAGAAAATACATAGGAGCAGAAATAAGTAAATATCCTTTTTCCAATAGAGGTGATCATTTTACAATTTGACATACATTTTTGACTGACTGAATGTGACTCTAAAGTTTTTCTTGGCCAGACATGATGGTTCAAGTCTGTAATTCCAGCACTTTGGGAGGCTGAGGCAGGTGAATCACTGGAGGTCAGAAGACCAGCCTGGCCAAGGTGATGAAACCCCATCTCTACTAAAAAAACCTGGAGGTGGAGGTTACAGTGAGCCGAGATCGTGTCACTGCACTCCAGCGTAGGTGACACAGTGAGACTCTGTCTCAAAAAAAAAAAAAAAAAAAAAAGGTTTTTCTCAAAATTGGGAACATAACATATATGTGGGTTTCATCATCTGCTTTCTCTGAATTTCAGAAGATGGAAATGCTGTCAGCCTACTTGTTTTTGCTGCCACTATATTCCCCTCCTTTGGGATAGCACCTGGGATGTGAGGATGTTCAGTAGTTTTGACATGTTTATCATAGTTTTTTTTTGTTTTGGAAACCTCTGATTAAAATACAAAAACAAACAAAGATAAAGTCTTATACACAAAGCCTGATGTGAAATCTGCTGTGGCTGGTGGTGTTCAGGGTGAGGCTTATCAAATCCACCCTACCCAGCTCCAGAGAAACTGAAAATCAGAATCAAAAGGTTTACCAGCCAAGTCCTGGCTCCCAAATCATGTCACCACACAGAGATAGCAGAAGGCACACTGAATACTATAGCACTTGGGCTCTGCCTGCCTCGAGGTGGGAAACCAGCTGTTCCCAAGCCTGTCTTCTGCACAGAACAATCATCAGAGATCTTTACAAACACCAAAGCCCATGCCTCATCTCAGACCAATTAAATTACAATCTCTGGAGTGGAGCAGGCATCAATCATTTTTGAAACGCCCCAGGCGATTCTAAGAGGTAGACAAGTGTGAAAACCTCTGATATAACCTCCTTCAGCTTCCGCTTCACTGGAAGTGGAATACTACAGTACAGCTAAATGAGAATCCTATGTGAAAACAGTCTTTCAGCGGTAAGCACTCAAAGATTCCATGTAATAATGATGGAGTCAGCTGACATTTGCACCCTTATGATTTTCTCCATGTTCAGACAGAGAAACAGAGTCCCAGAAAAGCCCATGGTCAAACAGCTGGTAGGAGGAGAGCCCAAATTCTAACCCATACACTGCTCCGGCCGCCAGGGCCCATGCTCTGAGTCTCTATCCTATGCCGCCTCTAGGGGATGGGAAGAGAGAGGATAAAACAAGCAAAAACCAAACATACATCAGAATTAGAGGCTGTACATTTCGAAAGCACAAAAAAAGCATGATTGTCAGCTGGGCACGGTGGCTCATGCCTGTAATACCAGCACTTCGGGAGATGGAGGTGGGTGGATCATGTAGTGGGTTCTGTGCACCCACTACAGGTGGTGGCACACACCTGTAGTCCCAGCTACTTGGGAACCTAAGGCAGGAGAATAGCTTGAACCTGGGCGGCGGAGGTTGCAGTGAGCTGAGATCACACCACTGCACTCTAGCCTGGGCAGGATTGTCAACAATTAAAATTGTTGACAAAGAAGCGTGATTGTCAACAATTAAAATTATACCAAGAAGTGACACAATGTTAAAATAATCCAGGCCATCTGAAGGTTGAGCGAAGGTGGGGAGTGGATGAAATGAGACTGGCCAGGAGTTAATCATTTCTCAATACAGGTGACGGGAATGTGAGGTTCATAATACTGCTCTCTCTATTTTTGTTTTCTGAAGTTTCATGATAAAACACAGTATCTACACCCAATACTTAGGAACACATTGTCTGTTCTGTAGCATTACTGTTCTGTCATTTAGCTGAGTTCCCCTTTTCCAAACATTAGAACTATGTCAGTTTGTGCAAACTGTTCTCTTCCTTTTTAAACAGTCCACCAGGCTGTCTCGGTGACTATGTGCAAGGCTATTGCATCATCTGGGTTGGGTAAACCAGCTCCTGGCCCCTACATCATATTACAGGCTCACCGTGTCTCTCCTCCCACTGCTCAGTGCCTCCAACGTGAAGGGATGCCCCTGAACTCTGCAGACCAGCCATTCCCTCGAGTCACTTAAATGCAGCCGTCTGCGGCTGGAAGCTTGGGTTGCTGGTGAGCAAACTGAGGACTGGGCAGAGGAAGGCACACTCTTGGCTTGCCATAGATACAAAGTAGGGTCTATGGGTTCCTCTGTGGCTGCAAATAACACAGTGTCCATCCAAGAAGTGAGCCTGACTTACAAAAATCTCATGTTTTCTCAAAGGTACCTTTTAAAATTTATTATCTTAGGCTGGGCACAGTGGCTCATGCCTGTAATCCAAGCACTTTGGAGGCCAAGGCAGGTGGATCACCAGAGGTCAGGAGTTTAAGACCAGCCTGACCAATATGGTGAAACCCTGTCTTAAAAAAAAAAAAAGAAATAAAAATGAAATTAAAAATAAATAAATAAAATAAAATTTATTATCTTAAATCATAGACAAGAGGCATTAACTTTATTTGTTTATGAGACAGAGCCTTGCTGTCTTGCCCAGGCTGCAGTGCAGTGGCACTATCTCAGCTCACTGCAACCTCCACCTCCCAGCCTCAAGCAATTCTCCTGCCTCAGCCTCCTGAGTAGCTGGGGCTACAGGCACACACCACCATGCCCAGCTAATGTTTGTATTTTTAATAGAGATGGGTTTTGCCATGTTGGCCAGGTTGGTCTCAAACTCCTGACCTCAAGCAATCTACCTGCCTTGGCATTCTCAAGTGCTGGGATTACAGGCATGAACCACTGCACCAGGTCCATTAACTTTATTTTTAATATCAAACCAGTCAGAGGCCAACGTGGTGGCTCATGCCTATAATCCCAGCACTTTGGGAGGCTGAAGTGGGTGGATTGCTTGAGGTCAGTAGTTCGAGACCAGCCTGGTCAGCATAGCGAAATCCTGTCTCTACAAAAAATACAAAAATTAGCCAGGTGTGTTGGTGGTGGTGGTGTGTGTGTGTGTGTGTGCGTGTGTGTGTGTTCCCAGCTACTCCAGAGGCTGAGGCCTTAGAATCATTTGAGCCTGGGAGGCAAAGGTTGCAGTGAGCTGAGATCACGCCACCGCACTCCAGCCTGGGCAACAGTGTGAGATTCTGTCTCAAAAACACCACCACCAACAACAAAAAACCTAGTCACAAACAGTGGCATGCAAGCAGGGACTCAGGCCGTCTATACAGAACAGGTAATGCCAGACAGCCATGTGGCAAGGCTGCCCAAAAGTCAGTGTAAACCAAGGCCAGGAAAATCTCTGTCACACCAAGTTTTAGAGGCAATTAACCTATTTAATAAAACTCTTTCAAAATCCTTATTTTAGTTTGTGATTCCATATGTGTTTGTGTGCTTAGCAGTTCCACAAGGAGCTTATGTATTCTAGACATTTGGCACCATGCCCGATACATAAGACGATCTGAAAAATATTTGTGAAGTGACAAAATAAAAGCCTCAGTCAGTGGTATGCCCCAAGAATGAAGGGAGACCTCACCACAAGAGGGCACTGTAGTTCACCATGATAGGATTTTGAAGCCTGAAACTGCCGTTTCTAGTTCCTCCACAGAAGACTCAAGTGGGCCACGATTCCCAAACCTACCATAATTTAAAATGGTCCCTATGCCATGAACAAAGGATGTCTGGGTAACCACACTGCAATGATCAAATACAGAAAATGTAATGTTTATATAATATTATCTAACACACAATCCACACTCAAATCTCCCCAATCACCTCTGCGTTGCCTTCCACAGCAGCCCTCCCTGCCCAGTCCAGGATCCCACACTGCACTTAGTGTTCATGTCTCATCTTTTATTTTTATTTTTTGAGACAGGGTCTTGCTCTGTCACCCAGGCTGGAGTGCGGTGGTGCAATCACTGCTCACTGCAGCCTCCACCTCCCACACTGAAGCAATTCTCTCACCTCAGCCTCTCGAGTAGCTGGGACTATAGGCGTGTGCCACCACACCCGGCTCATTTGCTGTATTTTTAGTAAAGATGAGGTTTCGTTCGTCATGTTGGCCAGGCTGGTCTCGAACTCCTGACTTCAGGTGATCCACCCACCTCAGCCTCCCAAAGTGCTGGGATTAGAGGCACACGCCTTCACACCTGGCTAATCTTCATATTTTTTGTAGGGACGGAATCTCATTATGTTGCCCAGGCTGGCCTCAAACTCCTGGACTCAAGCAATCCTCCCACCTTGACCTCCCAAAGTGTTGAGATAATAGGTGTGAGTCACCACGCCTGGCTTGCTAATATCTCTTTAGTCCTCTTTAATCTGGGACACTCCTTTAGCCTTTCATTGTCTTTCATGACACTGACTTTTTTGAAGAGTCAGAACTGTCATAGGCCTGTTGTTTTGTAACACGTCCCTTCCTTGGGCTTGTTTGATATTTTCTCATGAGTAAATTCAGGTTAGAGGCCAGGCACAGTGGCTTGCATCTGCAATCCCGGTACTTTGTCAGGCTAAGGCAGGAGGACCCCAGGAGGCCAGGAATTCAAACAAGACCCTACTTCTAAAAATTAATTAATTCAGGTTACATAAAACAACTTCATGTTCTAGCTCACTTTCAATGTTTCACTTAATTTTTTTTTTTTTTAAAGAGTCTTGCTGTTACCCAGGCTGGAGTGCAGTGGCGTGATCAGAGCCACTGCAGCCTCTGTCGAGCTCTTAGGCTGAAAGTGATCCTCCCACAGCAGTCTCTTGAGTAGCTGGGACTGCAGGTATGTACTACCACAACAGGCTAATCAAAAAAAATTTTTTTTTTCCTTTTTGGAAACTCCCAGCTACATTGTCCAGGCTGGTTTCAAACTCGGCCTCACAAGATCCTCAGCTTTAGCCTCGTGAGTAGCTGGTATTACAGGTGTGAGCCACTCCACCCAGAAATGCTTTACTTAATTTAATTCAGGTCATCAGTGCCTACCACAGTCCAACCCACAGAGAAGGCATAGAAGCACTGGGTAAAGAAATGCCAGAGGGAAAGAAATGTAACTGTGTGTTTTTTGTCTTTTCAAACCAAAAAAGCCTAATGAACCCAACTGGAAACTTTCTTATAACAAACAGGGCTAGAGTCCTAGCCAGGATTGGATCAGGGACTGGAGATGAAGACTTAGCCTTACAGAATGAACAGGGAAAGGATTATTGGCAAACAGGATTGAGCTGGGAGAAACTAGTTAATAATCTTTTTGGAAAAATATAAGTAATTACATAACAATTTCACAGGCTACATTTAATCTGCAGATGAATTAAAAAATTAACTGTAAAAGAATAAGACACATTCATATATGTAAATACTAACATACATATATACACAAATGTTTTCCAGAAGAATATTTAGAAACTGCTAACAGTCAAGCCATTAAAAAAGAAGGCAATCGTGTCCTTTGTAGCAGGGATACAGCTGGAAGTCACTATCCTAAGCATGTTAACACCGGAACAGAAAACCAAATACTGCATGTTCTCACTTACAAGTGAGAGCTAAACATTGAGTACTTATGAACATAAAGATGGCAACAACAGATACTGGGGACTCCTAGAGGGGTTTAAAAACAACCTATTTGGTTCTCTGCTCACTACTTGGGTGACGGGATTAGTCATCACCCAGACCTCAACATCATGCAGTATACCCATGTACAAGCCTGCACATGTACCCCCTGAATCTAAAATAAAAGTTGAAATTATAAAAAACAAAAAAGAAACTGCTAACAGTGACTCCTTCTGAGAAGAGGGAAATGGGTAGGAAATTACAATCTTAGTTCTACTTTTCCACCTTCTCATGGTGCTTGAATTTTTTTTTTTTTTTTGAGACAGAGTTTCATTCTTGTTGCCCAGGCTGGAATGCAGTGGCGCAATCTCGGCTCACTGCAACCTCCGCCTCCCTGGTTCAAACGATTTTCCTGCCTCAGCCTACCAAGTAGCTGGAAATACAGGCACACACCACCACGCCCAGCTAATTTTTGTATTTTTATTAGAGACGGAGTTTCACCATGTTGGCCAGGCTGATCTCTAACTCCTGACCTCATGATCCGCCCTCCTAGGCCTCCCAAAGTGCTGGGATTACAGGCATGAGCCACCCTGCCCAGCCTTGAGTTTTTTTTTAAACCTGTGTCTGTATCACCCTTGTAAATGACAACTTGGGCAGGTGATATCACATGTTATTCTTTTCTTCTTTCTATTATTTGTGATACCTCTCTTCTCCAAAAAATATTACATTTCAAAAAAAGTTTTGTGTCCAAATATATGGAATTGTTGATGGAATGCTGTGCAGTTGTGAGGATATACAGTATGTTAATAGACTTTGAAAGGACATATTCAGCAAATAAAGCAATTATTAAACAGTATATGATTTACTACAAGCATAATCATTTGTACAAATAGAAACAAGGATAACAAAATTGTCGAAATTTTTAAATGGCTTTCTTTTGATTATCTCTATCCTCCACAATAATCATGTAAAATACCTCCATAATTAAAAATAAAAATTAAGTAGAACATTCCAAAAAACCCTAAAAGCCCTATTGATAGGCAGGTATAAGAATCCAAAGCATTTTCCTGCGCATTCGTCTCACGCAAGAGAGCCTGACATCTCTCAGAGCTTCCTCTTACAGAGCTGCCAAGGAGACATGATTCATGCTGCTTGCAGGTTTGGCAAGGGTGAAAGTAAGTTCTGCGGTGGTAGATAAACTTTTGCAAAGCATCTGAAAATACAGTAATATGACTCTTCAAACAAAGCATCCTTTAATATAGTACACGGACACTTGAGAATTCTCAAAGCCCCTTTTAAAAGAAATGAAAATTTCCAGGCCGGGCGCGGTGGCTCACACCTGTAATCCCAGCACTTTGGGAGGCCGAGGCGGGTGGATCACGAGGTCAACAGATCGAGACCACCCTGGTCAACATGGTGAAACCCCGTCCCTACTAAAAATACAAAAAATTAGCTGGGTATGGTGGCACGTGCCTGTAATCCCAGCTACTCAGGAGGCTGAGGCAGGAGAATTGCCTGAACCCAGGAGGCGGAGGTTGCAGTGAGCCGAGATCGTGCCATTGCACTCCAGCCTGGGTAACAAGAACGAAACTCCGTCTCAAAAAAAAAAACAAAAACAAAAAAGAAATGAAAATTTCCGTTACGTGAATCTGAGAATAATGTATCTAATCTATACTGTGTAAGAGTAGAAAAGGCTTACTGTTCCAGGAAACATAAGACCCACATTTGTTCCTGGCTTCTACAGTAGTGTGTGATCTTGAGGCAGGTGATTTACTCTCTGAGTCTTATTATTCACCTGAAAGTGGGGATCATTCCAACCAATTTTTAGATCTCATTGGAATCAATGAGGATCCAGATACTAGCATCTGTAAGAAACAACAAATTTGGGTTTCTAAGGCCAGGAGACCCCTACCATGGATGTAGCCACCTGTTCCTTGGTACAAGTAACCTTGCACTTTGATATTTAACCTTGATAACTGATTACTGCATCACAGCAAGTCAGAATGGTCTCCTTGGCCATGTTCATTTATATTCATTCTGGAGGTTGCTGAAACTCTTCAGTCCCACAAAACAGCCTCCTTACATAAGACCCCCACTCCACTGAATGCCCACTTAGGAATGTTAAGAGGGACAGGGAAGAATCTATTACAGAAAATATCAGAAATGGAACATGAACATGTTCAAACAGCAAACGTCCAGACTCCTGGGGCCCTCCCAGGCAGCACTTACCAATGGTGGTCTCACAGAACTTCTCCGCAGCCACCTCGTTGGCGATGTTGGCTCCCATCAGCACACTGATGTCAATGCCCATCTTCTCGCGGATGATGTCAGAAATGAGTTTCAGCCCCTCGGGGCCCTCGTCTATGCCCTACAAGCATGTCGAGAAGTTAGGAGAAAACAAACCGCCAAATCAAAGAGGCATGGGATCGCGACTTCATAAGTAATCCAGATTCAGATATCCCATGGCGACACAACTTGAAAAATATCTCCTACTTACAAGAGTAAGTGTGTATACTGCGTATGTACAGCTTAAGGAAGAATAAAACAAAGAAAAGAAACGTGATCATCACTCACGTTAAGAAATAGAACGTGAGTGACAGGACTGAAGTCCCCTGTGTGTCTCCTCTCAGATCATCCTCCTTCTACCCCAGCTCTCCAGGGTGAACCACTGTCCTGAATGCCGTACGCATTGCTCCCTTGCTTTTCTTGATTATTTTACCACATCGGATGGTCCCTAAAGAATGTTCTATGTTATTATCCCTGGTATTTCAAGTCTATAAACAGAATTGCGCCATTCACCTGTGATGTGCTGTCTTGCACATTATCACTTTAGAATTCACTCATGTGGCTGCGTGAACCTTCCGGTTTGTTTCTGTTCACGTACTGCATAGAATTCCAAAATAAACAGTTCACATTTCATTTGTCTACTCTCTTGCTGATGACACTTGGGTTGCTCTGCTTTGCCTTCAGGAACATTCACCTGTAAATGCTCTGGGACAGCCTCTCTCGGGAGTTCTTAATCTTTTAAACGACATGGGTCTTACCCCTGGTAGTCTGGTGACGTTTATGGACTCATTCTCAGAATTTCATATGCATAAAACAAAATACCTAAAATAGCCCAGGAATCCAATTATATTGAAATTTGTTTAAAAAACAAATGTATGATAAAGTAATATATGCACTGTATTAATGCAATTAGAAAAAGATGTCATGGCAGGTCTAATAATTACCACAATTTCCAAGTAGTGACAAGCATAAACGATACCTTGAGATATCTGAGGAAGGTATAAAGTGAGATGAGAGCCCTGTGACTCCTATTGAAAACAAGGTCTCCAATCCTGCTAATACTGTTACTGAAACTTTGGCTGTGACCTGCCTTCATAAATGAAGAAAATGCTCATTTCACTTAGAGGTTAAAATGAATTAGAATGCAAGGATTTTTTTCCTCCACATTTAAGTGCATGAACTTCCTGCATTCAATCTGTGGACCTTTGGAGGTGGTTCCTGGTTAAAAACACAGGCTTTAGGGTATATATCCAGGAACGGGCACTAATGGTTATTAATTTCCCAGCTAATTCCAACTGCTGGTGGTTTCCAGATGACAGGCTGAGCCCCCAGAGTGGACTGGAAGGGGCGGCACTGCTCCGCACATCACGGCTGCTGCTAGTTTGCTGCAACGGAAAGCAGCAGCCCGCTCTAAATCTGAGCTAAACTAGTCTTATATTTTTTATGATCTTTCGGGCATCTTTAAAAACACAAATGAAAAACTTCCCACCTTCAGCTCCAAATCTCAAGCACATGAAAGCATGAAAAAATGAACTTTCCTGGTAACCAACGTCTAGCCCTGGGTAGCATGTACTCGAGTTACCTTGATGAGGGTGATTCCCAGGGCCTTCGCGGGCACTCTTCCGGTGAGCTCGTCACAGATTCTGTGAATGAACTGGTGGGGAATGACAAACACCAGCAGGTCTGCACCCTCCACAGCCTCGCTGAGATCTGAGATGGCGACCTGCAACCAAAAGGCAGGGAAGACCGTTTCTCCTCCCACGTCAAACCATGCCTGTCCACGCGGCTCCACTCACGGACCATTCAAACCATGCCTGTCCACGCGGCTCCACTCACGGACCATTCAAACAATGCCTGTCTACACGGCTCCACTCATGGACCATTCAAACAATGCCTGTCCACACGGCTCCACTCACGGACCATTTACCAGAGGCCTACTATGTGCAGAGCATTGCACAGATAGACAAGGAAGGCAAGTGTGTTTGCTTTGCCTTCCTTATTCCTTATGGGGTCTGAAGCAGAGGGTTCTGCCTCTGTCTCAGCTGGGCAGGTGATTTATCCTCTCCACTCCCTGACTGCCTTACCTGCAAAAGGCATCCCTAACAACACTGCGTGGGTTGCTCTCTGTTGCTCTCCCACCTCGCCAGCCCACCATCCATTTTTTGCTCTTCTCTGCCCCACTCTGTTTCCAGGAGGCTGCTTTCTCTAAACTGTTTCCCAGGCTCCCTTGTTCTCTGGCTTCCAGTGGACTTCAGCCAATGGGAGGCACTGTCAGGAGATGAAAAGAAGGGAGGAGAGACAGGTCGAGGGTACTTATCAGTCTCCTCGGGCCTCTTCTGCCCAGGCTCACAGTAGTTCCGGCTTGGCTTCATCCTACAGCTGCTCCTGCTGCCAGGCAGCCTCTCTCTAAGGCCATGTCGCTAAGCCCACTTCAGGCTGGTGACATGTTCTTTCCCTGAGCCTTTCAGGGGTGGGAATGGCTTCCTGCTGTTGCTAATCTCTGAGCACTTCACCAACCCCTGTTGGTTCCCTCGACCCCGTGGCCCCTCAGTAAATGATCCCACACTAATCTCTCCTTTGAGAGTGCCGACGTGAGGAGTAAATGATACAGAAAACTGCCTGGCACTTGATACACACTCAACACATGTCAGCTGTTATGACGATTTCTTTCCTTAAGGGTGAAGATTAGTTTAACACGGCAGAAGTGAGGGCAGGCCATGAGGACTCCAGGGCACACGGTCTCTGGCAGAGGCTGCTCGCTGCACCTAGTATCTGTTCTGCCTTCTTCCTCAGCATTAGAACCTCTAGTTTCGAGTTGGGCTCCTGAATGCCGGCTATATTTCCCAGCGCTCCTTGCGGCTTAGGTGTACCATGTGACTACGTTCTGATCAAGGGAGCATACATGGAAGTCCTGCCTATGACTTCTAGAAAATGTCCCGGAAGGACTTTCTCACTCCTTTTGCCAGTGGGAATGTGAAGGCATGGCTGGAATTCAGAGTCACCTTGGACCAGGAGGAGGACAGCAACAACACCTGCTGAGATGGCAGAACAGTGGAATCAAGCAAGTCTCTGCCACCGTGATGCTGCACCAACCACAAACCTCTTTACCTGAGGGAGAAATGGACAGGCACTGACCTTGCTTAGACCACTGTTATTTTAGGTTTTCTATCATATGTACTTAAACTTACCTACTGATACAGTCCCCATTAAGCATTGCTGGTTCCCAAAATGAAAGGCCTTGGATGAAGATTCTTCTCTGAGGAAACCATGTCTGTCATAGGACCATCATTCAGAACGGGAAAGCCTCTGAGGAAATTTGGTTTGGGGGCTGTGATGGAGACTACCAACTCCCAGCCAAAGTTCCTTCTCCACTTCTCTGTAATCACAGACTTGAAAGCTGGTCACTGGTCATCTAGCCATGGACTGTGTTTCCCAGCAGTCCTTGCGGCTACAAATGGCCAGGGACCAAGTTCTCATCACTGGAGGTGAGACGGAGAAATAGGTGCCACTGACAGCCCAGAGGCGTCGAGACAGTGGGTTGCCTCTTCCACACTTTCTCTTCCCCCTTTCCGTGAGCTGAAAACCTTGCAACTCAGCCTTGACCCCAGCGAGGGACACAAGGCCTAGGGGATGGTGCAGGAAACAAACAAACAAACACGGGACCAAGAATAATAGCATAAAGCAAAGCACTAGAGTACTTCTGTGTGAGAGGAAGACAAGTCTCTTGTCCTCTGTCACATTATTACGTCTCTTGCAATATCTTGGTCTGTCACCTTGACTAATACCTGTGCTAAGAGTTACTCCCTCACACAGAGGATTCCACCGAGAAAATCTGAAGTTTCATTCCCTTATCCCTCCAGAAGGTGCGGAGGTGTTCTACCCTTTTTTGCCCAGCCTCCATTCCCCTTCTTTCTAGCGGAAGTGTCCCTAAACTTCCCTTCAAAAGCTACCACTTCCCCATTTTAACCAAGCCATTTGGGTGGAATTGGCCCTACCCCATTCCAGGGACGGTTCCTCACTTGTTCAGGCTAAAGGCACATTAAACAGTCGGAGCCAAAAAGAAACCAGCGGATGTCTTCTGGGAAACACGTGCTTCCTTGTCCTTCAGGAGCAGCCACGGGTCTCTGAACAGTGTGGGATGCTGCTGTGAGGTCTGGAACTACCGCATCCATGCTTACAAATGTGAGGGGAGAATCTACACCACGGGGCTCCCATGTGGATGAAGCCAGCTTTGTGGATGGCAAAGCAGAGGAACAGAGGGAAAAACAGGCCCTCTTAATGTGTAAGCTGCTGGTTCAGGCTGCGCCTGAAGCTAGCCCTACCTGGATTTTTAGTTACCTGAGCCAAAACATTTAGCTTTAAGCTGATTTGAATGACAATCTAGAGTCATTCCCCCTACAGCAGATCAAAACCCAAAGCTCAGCACTTCTCCCTCGCTAGTGGCAGACCTAAAGGCAAGGAAGGCCTATTTGCCTATTTTCCTCTTTGGAAGGGCTTCTCCAGATTGGTAATCTAGGCTGGGCAGTCACAAGTGGCAAAGATTTATTACCAAAAATCCACCTGCTACATTATTCCTCTCAAACATGGTGACTCCAGCCCCTCCAACAAAGCATTTTCTGATTCTATTCCATTAACTTCCCGACGCAGGCCAGGTGCCATGCTCATGCCTGTAATAATCCCAGCACTTTGGGAGGCTGAGGTGGGTGATTGCTTGAGGCCAAGAGTTTGAGACCAGCCTGGCTAACATGGCGAAATCTCATCTCTACTAAAAATGTAAAAATTAGCCAGGCATGGTGGTGCATACCTATAATTCCAGCTACTTAGGAGGCTGAGGCACAAGAACCACTTGAACCCGAGAGGGGGAGGTTGCAGTGAGTTGAGATCATGCCGCTGCACCCCAGCCATCTCAAAAAAAAGGAAGCTGCAGGTGGTAGGGAATGTGATGGTCTCTAGGACAATGTGACTAGGGCTTATTCTCCTTGGTGGAATACTTAGGGTTTAACCCGCAGAAGCAATGTGTACAATGTGAGCTGTATTTTTATGGTGTGCATGGTCCATTCATGGAAAATTACTCCTCTTACATAGTATCAGAACAAGTTCTCATCAGCTAATGAGATCATGTGAATCTCATCTTTTAGAATAAAACCTTTTGCTAAGCCCCTACCCGATTTTCTGCTCTGAAAATAATCAGGACGCTGCTTTGGAAATGGCAACTGATTTTGTGAGCCTCCTGCCAAAAAATCTTTCTGAGGGTGTCCATCATCCCAGATCCTGAAATATGCGGGAAGCACAACTCTGAACAACAGGTCTTGCCTTCCAATGGCAAGTAGGACAAACAACTCAGAACGAAGGCATCAGGGCTGGTTTGTTTCATGCCCAGACTTTCAGGAGCCCAGTGCTCTCGGTCCAAGTTAATAAAAGCATAATAATAAATAAAAATCATTGGAAACAAAGCGGGTGAAATCCGTGTGGGCAAGCCTGAAGGTTCTTCCGTTCCTTCTGGGTCCCACTATCACTGTCGACAGTGTGTGCTTAATGAGCTTTTACCTATTAGCAACGTGCTATCTGCAGTCATCAGAGTGGGCAAGAAAAAGACCTCCCTCCCATCAACAGCGACTGACCTCCTCACCTTCCAAAGATGCTATTTTATGCTCTTTAAAATCAGCTACGATTAAAATACTTTCTCCATTCATTCATGACTATAAATAGGCTCACTGGATCAAATCTGAAGAACAAACATCTAAGTAGGAAGATAAGAACTGCTCCTCCCGGCACCAGAAATAATCACTACTAATATTTTGGTGCATTCCTTCCAAGGCCTTTTTGAGCTTACAGAAATATTTAAAAGTATATTTATAGAATTAAAGTAACACTTTTATATCTTTTTAATATAGTATTATAACAATTTTCCTGTCATTCAAATGAAGACTTTTCCCCCTAAAATCCATGAATCTTGCCACACACCATTTTATACCAACATCATAGTAATGACAGATAAACAAGCATAAGCCAAATAAAAGGTACCAGGGCTGTTCTCATTTTTATCTAATCTCTTAGGACCACTACAGTTATTTCTACCTCAAGTCTGTATGACTCTGCATGCTGAAACAATTCTGGTACCTAACGAGAATGGCGTGGTTTAACAATGGTCCAGGTGCTGTGGGTGTGCAAAGCATCATGGCCAAGCTCTACTGCCAGTCAGCTAACCGGACGCCGCGGCACCTCACCTACATTCTCTGGGGGATGTGCACTCAGATTCAACACAACACCAGGAGTAAAACACATAGCAGTGTGGGACCTGGGATGTAGCAGAGACTCAAAAATATTGTTAATCCCCCTCTGTTCTTCTCATCTCACTTTCAGCCAAGATCTTAGGTGAAATTCACTTGGCTCTACGTGCAGAAACATGACCCTATCTGATGATGCTTATGTAAACATGCCACTGTTGGTAAGTGAGGCTGCTTCTGGAAAAACAGCTATCCACCGCCTGGATTCCCCAGTACACCACCAATAATATCAATTTATTATGTACACCCATGATTCCCAAAGCATGGCTCCTGAACCAGCTGCATCCCCACTACCTGGGAACTTGTGAGAAATGTACATACGGGGACCTCACCTGAAACCTACTGAATCAGAAACTATAGGAGCGGGCCCACAGATCCCTGGGAAGCTCTTCCAGCGATCTGAAGAATACTAAAATTTGAAGATCACCAGGGAAAACTACTCATCTAATGAAATCAAAGAGTTAAACCCAGGGAGGAGTTAATACTGAGGATTCCCACTAAACTAATATTTTAATTTTAAGAATGCTTTCAGCAAAAATTAATAGATATTACCTCACCCCTAGTACCCAAATGTAAATGCTTAATTTTTTAAAAGTCTTGACCTAACCTTATTTCCCATGTGATACCACCTAAAGCACTGAAACAAAACTCTTCACCCTGGTTTGTTCTTCCTCACCACTTCTACTATCCTTGGCATTTATTCAGACCACAAATCATGCCAGGCACTATTCCAGGTGCTGAGGAGACATTAGTGAATACAGACCTATGCAAGAAACTATAATCAAAGACTTCGTGGGAGAGTCAAAAGGTAAACACTGGACTTCATCATTAAAAACGTCTGTGCTTCAAAGGATAGCATAAAGCAAGTAAAAAGAAAACCCACAGAACATGAGAAAACACTTGTGGAGAAAGGAGACCTGAATCTAGACTATATAAAGAATTTGTATTACTCAATAATAAAAAGACAATCCATTTTTTAAATGGACAAAGGATTTAAATACACATTTCTCCAAAGATATACAAATGACAATAAGCACAAGATGCTCAACTGGTTAGCCATCAGGCAATTGAAAAGCAAATCATGAATTAGATTCCCACTGGGATTAAAAAGTCAGATAACAGCAAGTGCTGGTAAAGAAAATGGAACCTTTATACACTGTTGATAGGAATGCAAAATGGTACAGCCACTTTGTAAAACAGTCTGGCAGTTCCTCAAAAATTATATCGGGCTGGGAATGTGGCTCACACCTATAATCCCTTTGGGAGGCCAAGGTGGATGGATCACCTGAGGTCACAAGTTTAAGATCAGCCTGGCCAACATGGTGAAACCCCATCTCTACTAAAAATTCAAAATTAGCCGGTGGCATGCACCTGTAGCCCCAGCTACCCGTGAGGCTGAGGCAGGAGAATCGCTGGAACCCAGGAGGTGGAGATTGCAGTGAGCTGAGATCACACCATTGCATTTCAGCCTGGGCAACAGGGCAAGACTCCGTCTCAAAAAAAAAAGGTATAGCCACTCATAGGTATACACACGAAAGAACTGAGAACATATGTTCATACAAAATGTTGTATATAAAGGTTCGCATTGTACATAAAGGTATTATTCATAATACCCAAAGAGTGGAAGCAACTCCAATGACCGCACGCAGATGAATGGGTAAAGAAAATGTGGGACATCTATACAACAGGATAGTATCCAGCCATAAAAAGAAACGAATATGTGTGCCAACATGGATGAAGCCTGACAACATTAAAGGGAGTGAAAGAAGCCAGTCACAGAAGACCAAAAACTTAAGATGCAATTTATATGAACTATTGAGAATAGGTAAATTACAGAGATAGCAAGTAGATTAGTGGTTATGCAGGGCTGTAGGACAATTGGGGAAAACAGGAGGTGACTAAGAAAGAGTACAAGATTTCAAGGTGATGAAAATGTGTTGAAATTTACTATGGTGATGGCTGCACAGCTATGTAAATATATTTAAAAAGCCACTGAATTGTATGGTCTGTGGATTGTATCTCGGTGAAGCAGTTTTTTAAAAAGCAGGCAGAAGATGAGAGGCGATGGCAACTGTATTTCATGGGGGCGCTGAAATCTAAATCCTGGTTACCCCCAGGCTGGCTGAAGCTGGAACAGGGAAGTAAAAGAGCCCTCTACCTCGATAAGCTCCAAACACAGACTCCGGAAATAGAGCTAGAAAACAGAATCAACAATCAATTTTGCAATTACAGAAAATAGTGAGCATTTTTTTTTTTGAGATGGAGTCTTGCTGTTGCCCAGGCTGGAGTGCAGTGGTGCAATCTTAGCTCACTGCAACCTCTGTCTCCTGGGTTTAAGCAATTCTACCTTAGCCTCCCGAGTATAGCTGGGACTACAGGTGCGTGCCACCATGCCCGGCTAATTTTTGTATTTTCAATAGAGACAAGGTTTTGCCATGTTGGCCAGGCTGGTCTTGAACTCCCGACCTCAAATGAGCCGCCCACCTGAGCCTACCAAAGAGCTGGGATTACAGGTGTGAGCCACTGTACCCAGACTACAGAAAATTATGAGCATTCTTTTTATTCAGATCTCAAGGGAAACTGCAAACTCAGATGGGCTCAGCTTTTAGTGAGCAGGCAATGACATGGTGAAGTCACTGTAACAGAAGGCTCCTATGTGGGAATGGCCACGTGATGACAGTGGACCTGGGAAAGGGTCAGGTGGGCAGCAGTTTGGGAGCCTCTCGCTGAAAAGGCTCAGTTTGAAGTCAGCACATCAACTGACAGCATAAACAGGGAGCTAGTGTTGATGGAAATGCAACAAACCTCTCCTGATTAAACTGGAAAGAAAAACAATAATTAAAAACTGGCCTTTTAGGTGGTTACCTGAGGCTGGAGGGTGAGGGACTGGGGACACATTGGTCAAAAATTCCACTTAAACACGAGAAATAAGTTCAAGAGCTCTAATAGACATCAGCAGGGTTCTGGGAGTGAATTCTTCCTCCCTTCTCTCCTGCCTCTGTCCACACCTGGTGACCAGGGGTGGGTGGTGGAGTCAGTCGTGTGGGGGCCAAGCTCCCTCGACTCCTCTATATGGATTCCTTCCCTCCCACTCTCCCTGTTCACAGCACAGGCTCCACCTTCACAGAACCACTCAGCAGATTCACTTCCCCCAACATTCCTCCAGTATTCACTGTAGAAGCACTGTGTTAGGGACTGGGGGTGAATGAAGAAGCAGAAAGCAAGGTCACACACTGGGGGCAGGTGGAGGCAGACAGACAGGTACACAAGGGACTGGCGCCAGGCATCGTGGGAGGAATTTAACAATGAGGCATGTAGTTTACCCAAGGGAAAGGGCAACCAATTCTGATAAAAATGAGAAAAGCAAAGCTCAAAAGAATGATCTGCCCCAAGAACGGATTAGAGATGACCCCAGAGGCCTTTCCATTTTGGTGGAAACAGCTGCCTCTTTTATTCTCTCCAGCATATTTGTACAACTTAACTTCTAAGCTCACAACTCTAAACATTCTTCCGCCCCCACCAACTGCTCCAAGACTAACTGTAGGGAAATGCTGGCTCACTCTAGTCCAGAGGAGAAAGTCATCCTTGTCTGGAAGGCAACAGATTCAGCATGCTCAGGGATGAGTCCACCAGGAATCGATCTGAAACATCACCCTTAGCTGTGTGACCCTGGACAAGTTCATTAGCCTCTCTGGGTCTTGGTTTCCTCCACTATGTAATCAAAATCATCATCCTAATAGGAAAACCAGTAGTATCAACCTAAGAGGGTTATTGAAGACATTAAATGAGACTGTATGTATTGCTTAGCACAGGGCTTGATGCTAACAAATACTGTAACTAAAACTTCCCCACATTTATTGATTTAGAGATCGGTCTCCCCTGCTCAGTTCCCTGAGGAAAGCAACACTGTCTTATTCCTCTTTCTGTCCCCAGCACTCAACGCTGTGCTTTGCATGCATGGTGCGTGCTCATAAGGTTTGGTGAGTGAACATATGCAGTAAAGGGTATTTCAATAAAAAAGGAGGTAAACTTCCTGGGTTAACCATAGGAATCAGACAGCCACAACTGTCTGGTTTTCAAAGAGATTATGATAGAAAGCCACAAAGGGGTGACTCTGATAACAGAAAAGGTTCATAAATTCCACTCAGACAAGCAGCAGGGAACACCCTTTTCACTCCCCAAGCCCATTTCTTTCTTCCCCCACAAGTCAATAGAAGGAGGTCAGGCAATAACCTGTATTTTTCTCTCCCAGACCTACTAAGCTTGAATTTAAACTGTCAGTCTTACCTTTTCCCATTTTCTTCTATCTCCTTCTGTAATTTAGGCCTTGACCCTGATTTTAATGACAGACCAGTGCATTAGCTGTCCTGGCGAGCTGATCTCATGCACTTGGAGAGGGTACATCAGGAGCTACTTGGGGAGCATGAACACCCTAAGGCAAGTTTGTTAGCTCCACACCTGGCTGGCACTTTGCCCAGGAGGAAGCCTGTTATGGGCTGTACCTCAGAATGTGACTATATCTAGAAATGGTGTCTTTAAACAGGTAATTAACTTAATATGTCATTGGGGTGGGTCTTTATCCAACACCACTGCTCTTTATAAGAGGGGATTATGACAGAGACAGGATCACAGGGAAGACCATATGAAAATACAGAAATGCTATCTACAAGCCAAGGAGAGAGGCCTCAGAAGAAATCAACCCTATCGACACCTTGATCTTACACTCAAAACCTCCAGAATTATAAAAGATACATTTCTCTTGTTTAAGGCACCCAGTCTGGCACTTTGTTAAGGCATCCTTAGCAAATTAACAGGAAAACCATTTTCGGAGTCAGGAAAACCAAACCCAACCAGCCAACTGGTAGTGGAAAGGAACTGGGGAAAGGGAAGCAGCTTTCCCGGGTCCAAGTCCCAGCTGCTGCTCAGCCAAGCATAACCTGCAGAATGAACCAATGTACATTTCACCCCAAAGTCTTACCACATTTTCTGGCAGCTTATGTCCAGGAAGATATTTTACATTTTCGTGGTCATTATTTATGATGTCTGTCAGTTTTCTGCCGTTAACTGTTTCTTCAAAGACCCACATCTTGACTGTGGAGGCAAACTTCTGAAGTTTCTTGACATTATTACCAATTATTTTTGCAACAGCTGAACCCCTACAAAAGAAACCGTGGAAAAGAAAAAAGTCCAGTCACTTGGGCAGAAGACAAAAAGCATGTAATTAAAATTCAGAAGACTTGTGTTTTGATTCTGATTCAAACACTGAGCTTACTCCTGATGTGATGTGTATCAGCCCCAAGCCATTTCAAACAGTTGTTTTCACTTGGAATACCACTGCCTGTGACTAGGGAAGTGCCAGAATTTGGTGTAAGGTCAAAAAGCACTACCCCTGGAAACTTGCAAGAATCAACCTATCGACAGCATCATAGGCAGAAGAGAAATCTACCCGAAAGCATGAAAAGGACCCTAGAAAGTCTTCAAAGGACATTGAGATGCAGCTATGGTAAAATAAACTGTGTCTTGATGAACTGCAACAGGTGCAAGGTAGAATCACAAAGGAAAGACAAGAACCTGAGTGGATGCCAGGAGAGGAGCAAAGGGAGAGCACAGGGCCCAGCTGCTGAATAGTTTGCACTCCCGCCTCCCTGCAACCAAGCTGGCCTCTGGCCCCCAAGCTCCTTTTCTCTGCATCTCTATTCAGCAAACACGCTCTAGTGACGGCTCAGTCTCCCATAGGCTTTCCTACAAGGGACGAGAATAACCCTGACTTGTTAATATCAGTCCTCCCGACAGAAGTGAGGGTCTGCCTGTGGTCGCTGCAGCAGAGGAGGTCAGACCAGGCACCTATGTCCATCTCACAGGAGCCGTTGATGGAGCCAGGGTGGGCACTTGATCTTAGCTGAGCCTGTCAGCTTCCCCCTCTGGACTTTCAACTGAGATAAAGCTTGTTTCTTAGATGACTTCCTGGTGTGAGGAGCAAATGAGAGAATGCAGTAAAGAGCATCTTGCAAATTCAAGTGTTAGCGCATTTGCTACTTTTTCTCACAATTATTCTCAAGACAGTTTGATGAGACAGAGTAGCGGGTGATAACGAAAGGTGGGGCAGCCAAGCTGAAGCAGAACATGTTGGAGACATTTATCTTCATCCCCTGGTGAATCTGCTATTCAGCACATAGACCTATATGCTCTAACAACCACAAAATTCAAATAATTCTAACAGATTCTTATCGTCCTTTTCCTGAGAGAGAATGGATAAACTAAATAAATGTGCTCAACTTTGGCTGCAAACGAGTTACCTGGGAGATTTAAAAATCCTGAGTCCCAGACCACACCCCAGGCCAATGAAACTGACACTTCTGTGATGGGAACAGGCATCTGTACATTTTAAAGCTCCCTGGTGACTTGATGTGCAGCTGGGGCTGAGAGCCACTGCTCTGCGCAATGATTAGAATTCCAATACCCTCCTCCCTCACAAAAGAATAGCTGTAGATATCAAGGCTATGCAGCTGTACCTGTACAATTCTTATTCTATGCCAGCAGGACAGGTTATGAGATAAATACCCATTAATCCAATTCTCCTACTGACACTTTGTAGAAAGGAGGCCAGGAATCTCCCACCATCCCTACCACCTCTATTCTAATCTTGGAAACAGCTGCTCACGTACTCACAGGGAGATACAGGCTGTGGTTCACAGTGTTCCCTGGCATCAAGTAACTTTCTCAAGGTCACAGAGAACAAGTGTGGTTCTGGGGGACTGAGCATCAACTGACGGTGGGCTGTGAGACATCAGGAATCTAAGTCTGGTAAACCAAGTGGAAAAATAAACCAGAACCAGGAATCCCTCCCCATGATTACTGGAATACACTTGCTTTCCAATTTACAGCTGCCTTTTGGGGAAGTCAAACATTTGCAACCACAGGCAAACCTGTAGTATCTGCTGCAATGAATTGGGAATATAAATAAATAAATATACATGCATATATATTAAATAAATAAATATATATGTATATACATGTATATTTATTTATACATACATAAATAAATAAATATAGGATCTCACTCTGTCACCCAGGCTGGAGAGCAGTGGCACAATCACAACTCACTGCAGCCGCGACCCCCTACCCCGGGCTCAGGTGCTTCTTCCACCTCATCCTCCTGAGTAGCTGGGACTGCAGGCACGTGCCACCACACCTGGCTAGCGTTAGGAAAATTTAGGCAAACATTGGGACTGTTAAGAACTAGGCCCTCCAGACCATGTCCGTACATCCTTTTGGATTCAATAGGGCTTAAAGTGACAGGATAAAAATTAATAAGGGAAATTCCAGTTATTTTACTCTTGAGGGGTCAAGACCTCATTCTGCCTCATTCCTGGTTTCATCAATACATTCCATTCACTCATTTATCTCAGTCATCAAATATTTACTGAACACCTACTGTTCATAATGCTGGTGATAAAGCAGGGGAAAGGCAATGTGTTCTTTGCTCTCAAAAGCTTACCACCCACTCAGAGAGATGAACAGCTAGAAGGCATTCCCGACGCTGTGTGTGGTAAGAGGTGGAGGAAAGCCGAAGCAGCTGTGGTTAGAAGGGTACACTGCAGTGCACTGCAACACAAAGGACTCACCTGCAATCCATGTGATCCATGACAAGTCTCCCAGCCTCAACCTTCCATTGAGAGAATCGTGACAGACAGCCCCACCCAGGGTGCAGGGAGAAGACACAGGGAAGGTGCTCAGGAAGACCAAACCCCGCTGAGAAGCACAGCAGGCTTCGCAAATCAGGGCTGGGAAGAGCAGACGCAACAGTGCTTTTCATCCAGTATTCAGCTAACTGCAGACACATGAGTGAGCCCGACCAGGCCAAGAACCACCCAACTGACCCACAGACTCATATGCAATCATAAATGCTTGTTATTTTAAGCAGCTGAGTCTCGGGGAGAGTGGGCTGCTGATAGATGCATAAATACAGCATCTTTGACACAACTAGAGGTAACTCCAATTAATTCTTGGCCAAGCTGCTTGGCCAAGGGATTGGCAATGCGGTGGGCGGGACTGGGGGCTGGAGTAGATGTTCAGTGTTGAAGGAAGGACTGTGGAATTAAGTCCACAGATGGAGAGGAACAAAACAATTCTAACACCTTAAGGCCTAGTTTTGTTCTCTATATATAATTTATACAATAATTTTTGTTTGGTTAAGGGTGGCAGGGAGTCAAGAGGAGGAGGACCAGGACTTAAAACACTGTATTTCATTTTGTTTTAACCCCTTTAGTATACTCTCTCTGTTTGTTTGAGACAGGGTCCTGCTCTGTCCCCCAGACTGAAGTGCACTGGTACAATCACCACTCACTGTAGCCTTGACCACCCAGACTCAAGGGAATTGTCCTTCCTTGGCCTCTTGAGCAGCTGAACTACAGGTGTGTGCCACCACGCCCAGGTAATTAAAAGAAAAATTTGTAGAGACAAAATCTATGTTGCCTTGTCTTGAACTCCTGGGCTAGTCTTGAACTCCTGGGCTCAAGCGATCCTCCCACCTGAGCCTCCCAAAGTGCTAGGATTGCAGGCATGAGTCACTGCGCCTGGCCCAATCTCCAGGTTGAACTCAACATTTTCTCTGTTGTCCACTTATATCTGTGTAGTTTATGAAAACTCAAAAAGTATAACCTGCACCCCAAACCCCTTTGTGCTTCTAGACGCATTTGTCCCAAGTGTTACCTCTTCTGACCAATGTGAAGGTGCAGCCTCATTTTGCTTGTGGATCAAACAGAGCAAGAAAAGTGTTCCAGAGGAGCCGGAGGGTTTTGAAGGGACCAGAGTCTACTTATAAGTGACATACTCTGTTCTGAAGAAATGTGACTGGCCAGCAGAAGGCCAGTCCAAAAACATGCACAGATATATTAGAACTGAGCTTAAAATAAAAGTACTGACTACAGTACACAAAGGTGGTTTGCATGTGAACAGGTCATGGCTGGGGTCCTGCGGCCACGCTGCTGGCACTCTCCCTGTCTCGGCTGGTTTCCGTGACGCTACACAAGCATAGTCAGGCACAGGCCTCGTCTGTCTGTCTCTCTCTCTTTCTCCCACATATCTATGCTATCTACCTACGCACTTACCTATTTTTCACCTCCTGCATATCTATCTGCCTGTCTTTCAACTCCTGTGTTGAGAATCGAGGGCACAGGCCTCCACATGGCTGGGTCAAGGGCATGAGCAGTCACCTCCACACCTGGCTCAGCTCATCCATCTACAAAATGATGGCAGGTGAAGTTCCTTCCAGGTCTATGATCAAATCCAGTGCTTCCCGAAGTGAGAAGTGGGTACCAGGGATACACACGAAAGCAAACGACACTGAATCACTCATGCCCTCTTCAACCCTCATGGTCCTGAGCTAGTGCAGAATGTCTCACTGCAGTGCCATTAAGTGGCTACCATCTCTCCGGCATGCGCTAATTTCCCTTCTACACAAACTGTGAAGAGGCCTCAGACTCTGAGCCTTGGCAGGTAGTAACATCTGGCAAGAATTTTATAACACTGTCTTGTTTTCGTTCTACTGGGTTTTGTTGTTGTTACCTTCTACTTGTGATATTTACTATAGTGATATGAAGTTGTCTTTTAGGGTAAAACATTCAGGCTGGACAGAGTGGTTTCCACCTGTAATCTCAGCACACTGGGAAGCTGAGAAGGGAGCATTTCTGGAGCCCAAGAGTTTGAGACCAGCTTGTGGAACATAGTGAGATCCTGTCTCTACAAAAAATAAAAAATTAGCTGGGCACGGTGGCTGTACCTGTAGTCCTAGTTACTCAGGAGGCTGAAGCAAGAGGATCGGTTGAGCTCAGGAGGTCAAGACTGCACCGAGCCATGATCATGCCACTGCATTTCAGCCCGGGTGATGGCGCACAACCCCGTCTCCAAAACATAAATAAATAAGCTTTTGAAGAAAGAATAGCAAACAAATAATACTACAGCCATGCAGCAGATAGAGCCAAAGCCGTAAGGGTGCCGCCTGCGTGATGCATTTAACCCTACTCAAACTCTTCGCCTTGCAGATTAACGCGCATGAGACTCAGTCATGTTCACCTTGCATCCTACAACCAGGTATGGTCCCCGGGTGGGTCTTACCTGGGGTGGAGGTTGGAGAGCCTTCCAGGCAGAAAGAAGG